GATAATAATTTATATGACGTTAAATTAAAAAAAAATTAAGTCAATGGTTTTTTCTGGCGAATTTTGTGTGCAAAACTGCAAACAAATTTTAAATTCTTAATCTAATGCTTCCGTTTACTTTCTGCCATAAGGAGAGATCGTTGACCAGAATGGCCACCAAAACGGCCACGTGGCAGATTAAGAAAATTTAATACAAAATGGGTTGGCAGATTAAATGCCAACAGTTATTCCTGAATAATTAATGAAAATAGTACTAGTACTAGTCTTATTTTCTTCTTAATTTCAATTTTCTGTTTAAATTTATTTCAGATAGAGTAGACAATTAACATTCTAATTAATCAACATCTGATTTCCGGAGTTTTTCATTTTTTTAACAGAAATTTTAGTGAACAAGACCTAAAAACCTAGAGAACAAACCTAACTAAACATAAATTTTAGAAACAGGACCTAAAATACTATAAAACAAGGAACAATTACAAAAATGCTATTTTTGTGTCCACATTTGCAAAAATGCCATTTAGGGTTTCCATTTACAAAAATACCACTAATTATAGATTTATAAAACCTATATCTTAAAATTATAAACCCTAAAAAATGTTTTGACACCTAAAACTCCTAAACACTCAAAACTAAACTCTAATAGAACATAATTAACCCAAACATAAATAATATAAAGAAAAAATAATTTTGAAAAAATGGCATTTTTGTAAAGATTTCAAAAACGTGGCATTTTTATAAAGTGGCATTTAAAAAGTGGCAATTTTTGAAATTTCTCATAAAACAAACCTAACTCATATGTTCTACTTTTGTGGTTCTAATCGAGACTTAAAATCTTGTACAAACTCAGATTATGTAGATGTTAATGTCGATTTCGTAAACATTTAGTTTATTGTTAATAATTTAAGGAAATCAGACGATTACATTAAATAGTATCAACTTAACAAACAAATTATATATTTAGTCAGTTGAAAAAAATACTTTCTACCAAATGTGTGGTGATCTAGTGGTAACACAAGGGAGTGTCCCGGGGTTCAAACCCCATTTGGTACAGAGGATTATTCTTTAAATCGAAATATTCAAAAACTGCTATTGGATACCGGGAGATTATGTTCCAAAGGTTCGGAACTCTAAAGGTTTATATAAAAAAAAAAAATTTCGTCCAAGTTGGTGGGCAGTGGCTGAATTGTTTTAAAACTTGGCTGCTCTAATAATTATTCAACCAACAAATTTCAAACTAGCTTGTGTTCTCATTTGACATTGCGACCCTTCTAAATTTTAAGAGCATGACTAGATGAATATCTTAAGTTGCATAAACTTATAAACGTGAAATGAGTCATAAACGCCTACTTAGACGCTATTACATGCTTGGATTTTTTAAACCACCTTATTCTATAAAATAGAAACGCCCGACCAATGTTTAGCGTTTAGATGTCCGCCAAGATCGCGCTTTAATGTGCCAAAAAGTTAAGATTTTCTTAAATTCCAAAACGTTAATTATGATTTCAGAACGTGCTGCATAAACTGGAATTTTTGTTTCCAAATTTTACCATCATGTATGTAATCAGGAGAGTGATGTTCTAAAAACGTGAAAATAAAAACTACTATATATAGCATTCATGTCGAAAAAAAATTAAAATTACAGAAGCTGAGAAACTAAAAAAAATCAACTTAACCCTTTCTCTGTTTTCACTAATATTTTTAATAAAAAAAAACTGTTACAAGTTGGAGCCAAAGTGAACACAAACATGTTTGGCTTTGTGATGCATGCAAGTATATGCATGATTGATAGTGAG